CCGGGCGACGACGCTTCAATAACCGTAATGCACTACGCGGCACCGTACACAACGTTATATTATGCTATTGTATATTACGCTATTTTGTACCTATATTATTAAGCCGACTTTGTGTGCGTACTATAATTATCATTGTTATTGTTATTAGCCCAGAACGATTAGTATTTTATTTTACTATGCCCATACTTATATTGTATACAAAATCTAATCGATAACGATGTATAGGTACATTACAATAATAATATTATACTTAATAACAACGATATTAATCATTATTACTCGGCGGACGTTTAATTTTGTAGTACGATCATTAATGCGTACAGGAATAGTATCTATATACGGCAGGATTGGTTTTACAGTAATGCGTACTCATTTTCAAATATTTTTCGCCGGTCTGGACACGAATTTTCCACCGGAATTCTTGGTCCGCTCAAACAACGGTGAGACCTAACCTTGGTGAACGTTATTTTTGTTGATTTTCCAAACAATTTCCGTAGCAACTGGGAAAACCCGAGAAAACGCGTATGAAAAACGAGAAAGTCTACCCCGTCCCAAAAAGAAAGAGTTGCCAGCATTACTGGTTTCGTTATGTAAAAGAGAGCCGACGTTTTTGCAGGAATATTTTTATTAGCCTTTTGCGAGTTCTTTTAGTTTTCATTCGGTTCAACGCGGATACAATTATTCGGCTAAACAGAAATGTTTGACAATTTTACACGGAGTTTATAGCAAAATGTACTTGGTGCTAAAAATAGTTGGGCTTAATGTAGCTGTTTTTTTTCTTTTTTCTTTTTTTTTGTAAACATTTTAAGTACCCATTTTGACGAAATTACATTTCAAAACAAGCATAACCAAAATTCACTCAAAATCGTTTTTCGTTAGCAATAGTTTATCGTTGGGTACAGGTATAAACTAAATAACTTTATGTATCCTATCATCTCGACTTCCCGCCTATTTTATATTTTCCGAACGTTTATTTTATATACATGTAATTTTAGACGCGCTAACTACTGATTTATGTTATAACTTTAATGTAAGTTTAATTGTGTTTTTTTTAAAACATTTTTTTTTTTTTTTTGACAAATTGTAATTATTTTTTTTAATTTAACTACGTTGGATGTTCAGCGAAATTTTAATTTTCTTTTACGACAAATACGACGACTGCGTCGAAATGTCAGCGCTATTGTTGTATAATAAAATATTAATTGTTATCATGTTTCATCAACGATCACCGAGATCGCGGTTATTTACTATTTGTAGGGTACCTACGACATAAGTTTGTAGTTTTTTTAGATGATAGTCAAATTAATGGAGTTTTACCAAAATTAAAACGGTAAAATTACATCACTCGGGTCAAAAACACGTAATGGACGAACTGCACTTGAGTCGAAAACGATTATTTTCCGGAATGATTTAGCAATAGCTCAAACAGCATTTTTATAGTTTCAAAAAAAATTAATGTTTAACCACGTCAGTGACTTAATCGTAAGCGGTTAGGGAAATATGAGTATTTTTAAAACTTTTAAATCTATTTATTTTTCAAACATTTATATTGACATAACTTTTTTGACCCGAATGCAGTTCGACCATTACCCTTTTTTTTAAACCTAAGTCAAAGTGACATATTGCAATATAATTTTTAGAAAAATTAATTTTCTTCTGAGTCGGTAAATTGCGTCTCCCAAAAAAGATCATAGTCATATATTATGTAAATTGCGGCCCATGTAATTTTAAAACATACGTAAATTGCGTCCCGGGTAAATCCGGGTTCCGGTTGGCTGAACAATTTAAAGATAAGTATTAATCTTTGATTGATAATAATAATATGTTCACTAATATAATATTACCAGCAGCCAGTGTGCATTTGATCAAATCGCGAATGTCGAATCGCACGAGGTTTTACGTTGCTCTACAGTTTACATTTTTTCTAATTTAATAAAAATGGACGTTATGAAAAGCGAAAGGAATAAAACGTTTTAAATAGTTGATGGTTTCAAATTTCGTTTTTACATATTGCTGAAAAATGATATTTAACGTTGGTGTTACACAGTTAAAACGTATAAGTGTTTTTTGAAATTTAATAATAATAATAATAATATGTGTGTAGATAGTTTTAAATATCACAGTCATTTTAAAATTTCGGAACAAATAATTAATCGACAGAAACTTAACAATTTAAAAAGAAAAACCGTTGACGATATGTTTACTCGGTCATCTAAAATTATTCATTCTGAATTATGAAATGCTGATGTAGAATCGTTAACTACTCAAGACGTTATGTTGATTAAACGAAATTTACACAATGCTCGAGCTTCTATCCTACCAAAACCACCACTCAATTTTTTGGAATTTCACAACATCTTGACAACAAGGAATTTGAAACAAATAAAAATGAAAATTTTTAAACCGTTCATTGTACAATAAATCAGTCGTATGTTCCACTCGTTTATATTTTACTACCTTCGAAGACTACACAATGCTATTTATAGGCATTTCAATATTTAGTTATCAAATTTAAAAAAAATAATCTACAATTCATTCCTATTCGGTTGTATGCCGATTTTGAAAAGGCTATTCACAATGCTGTAAGACATGTTTGGCCTTCTATTGAAGTAAAAGGGTGAAGATTTCACCTTGGTAAAAGTTGGTGCCGGAAAATACAGCAGCGGGGTTAAGTAATGATTACCAAACCAATAATACTGTTATAAGTAATTTTCTTAAATTATTTTTTTGACTTTTTTTAAGTCATGATATGGTTGTAGATGGTTTTGCGTATGATATAATGGCATTGAAACCACAAGATAATAGGATAGTATAATTTACTGACTACATATTAGAAACACATTTAACCAATGACGCAGAGTTTCGACCACTGATATGGGCCGAATTCGTATCCTCAACGATGCGCACAACAAATAATTGTTCATCATTTCATAAAAAAATTAAACAGCTCATTCAATTCATCATACCGAAACATATTCAATTTCATTGACATTTTAAAAAACACGCAATGTGATACGTATATCACATTGAGAAGTCAGGGAACAAAAAGCAAAAAATTACTGAAAAAAAAACCTTTATATATGACAAAATGTTTGAATTGCAAGCAAAAAAATTACTACGTCTTTGAGCGGGAATTGGCTTACAAATTTTTACCAATTTCTTAATTATGCATTTTTTAATTATACACATTTTTACAGACCCTTTAAACTTTACTTTTAATAATATCAGCGAAACCAATATTTTTAATCATACCAATATTTATACATTTATATTGCCAGTCCTAAGTCTGAAAAATGAGAAGGAAAATATTGATTTTGCAAAAGAAGCCTTAGACCTAATTTACGTATGAATAAAAAATATTTAGATAAGCACACATACAAAATTATACTCAGGCCGCAATTTACGTATGTACAAAATATACCCGGGCCGCAATTTACATCAAAAATTAAAAATGGGACGCTATAAATTGCGTCCCATTTTCTTAATTTGTATCGATGCTAAACAAAATTACCGTATGCATATACTGTTACATGTATCAGTTACTGCCTTTTTGTTGACTATAGGTGTACTTATGTTTATGAAGAGTAGTTAATGCTTATTTTTACGTAATTTACTGGTATCATTCGTATACATTATTTAAAATTCGTGTATATTACGTGTTTAACAGCGTTTCTAATGAAACCAATGTAACATTGTATTTACGGTATTTTTCGTAAACAGTAAAAAAAAAAACGCGCATTAAAAAAAAAAACGCGCATTAAAAAAAAAAAGAATAATTTTTCATATAAAAAAAAGAATAATAGAATTTTTTTTTTTTTCGAAATATTGTCGCTTACTTTGGCTTAGCTGTCCTTCGACTTTGCAAAGCCTTGCGTGAGTATACAGTAAATACGATAATATTATTGTTAATAAGACATTCATTGGTGAGGGGAGGGGGGATTGTTGTTACCTTACGCCCGTACAATATTTTAACGGAAAAGTCGAAAAATCATTGACAAATACGATTGAAAACATTGCTGCCTTCGAATTACGTACATACGAGGTGTGTTCAATAAATACCCAGACTAAAATTATTACAGATAACAATTTTAAGTAATCGGCAATATTGTTATACCAAAATAAACTAGAGATAATTACCATTATTTTAGTATATAATTATAATCATTATCTCAAATCAGTCATCGACAATACGTGTTCAAAGTTGGTCGTTTTGTATTAAATCGTGATTTTACAATGGATAATATTACGAAGCAACGCGAGTGTATTAAATTTTCTTTTAAAATTGGTAAAAATGCTACGGAAACTTTTGAATTGATTAAATTGGCTTTTGGAGATGTTTCACTAAGCCGTTGTGTAACTTTTGACTGGTTCAAACGTTTTAAAGAAGGTCGGATATCCATTAAAGATGACCATCGTCCTGGGCATCCATCAACATCAAAAACAAATGATACCAATGCTCTTGTTCAAAACAAAATTAGATACGATCGAACATTAACTGTAGAGAAGTAGCCAATGAAGTTGACATATCAATTGGTACTTATCATTCAATTTGATCAATTTGATCAAAGTTGAATTGGGTATGAAAAGAGTGTCCACAAAATTAGTGCCAAAATTGTTAACCGAAGAGCAAATGGAACATCTCATTGAAGTGGGTTTGGAACTAAAATATCGGGTTTCTAATGACCCAAGTTTTATAAAATCAATTATTACGGGTGATGAAACATGGGTACATGGATATAATCCCGAAATCAAAGTTTAATCATCGCAATGGAAGACCGCAAATTCACCTCGCCCAAAAAAATGTCGTCAGATCCGGTCAAACATCAAAGCAATGCTCATTGTTTTTTTCGATTTTTTTGTCCATTATGAGTTTGTACCTACGGGTCAGATAGTAAATCAAGTGTTCTATAAACAAGTACTTGAACGATTAAGAGAAAAAGTACGACGTAAAAGACCAGAAGCGTGGAAATCAAAGTCGTGGTTTTTGCACCATTGCATTC